CGTGGGGTCACACGGGGGGAGGGGCCTCGGAACACAATGTGGGGTCACACGGGGGGAGGGGCCTCGGAACACAGAACATGGGGTCACACGGGGGGAGGGGCCTCGGAACACAGAACATGGGGTCACACGGGGGGAGGGGCCTCGGAACAGGAACGTGGGGTCACACGGGGGAGGGGCTTGGAACACAGAACGTGGGGTCACACGGGGAGGCGGCCTCGGAACAGAACATGGGCTCCACAGGGGAGTGGGCCCTGGACCACAGAAGGTGGGGTTACCACAGGAGAGGTGGCCCCTGAACACAGAAGGTGGGGTTACAAGTCCAGGGGGCCCCAGACACCAGAGGGGCAGGGTCCCAGCTGGGGGGCTCAGTGAGCACATGGATCAGACGCTGAGCCCCGGCTGCCTCCTGAGCGGAGCTCTCCGCCGCGCGCCTCCCGGGCACGGACTTACGAAGTGGACGTCGTCGGCGGCCATGTCGTGGTGCGCGCGGTAGCCGGGGCCCTGGCGGTGCGCGCGGCCGTCGCGGGGCCGGGCCGTGTGGTGCAGCACGAAGCGGCTCCGGCGCGCCAGCAGGTGCAGCAGGAAGCACAGCAGCTCGAGGCCCGCGGAGACCAGGAAGAAGATGAGCGTGCCGGCCCGCTCGTCCGGCAGCAGCAGCTTGGTGAGGATGCGGCTCAGGGAGACCATCACGCCCGCTGTGCCTGCAGGGGGTGGGCACGGCTGCCACCGAGCCCACCGTCCCGCCCAGGCCTGCCCGGCCCAGCACAGCCCGGCTTGGCCCAGCCCAACCCTGCCCAGTCAGGCTCAGCACTGCCTGACCCAGCCCTGTCCAGCCCTATCCAGCTCGGCCCTGCTCAGCCCTGCCCAGACCAGCCGGGACCAGCCCAGCACAGCCCAGCCCTGCCCTGCTTGGCCCAGCCCTGCTCAGCCCGGGCCCAGCCTTTCTTCCCAGGTGCCCCTGGGTGGATTCGAAGCACCCATTTAGCAGCGGAACACCAAACTGCACCACCCACGGGCTGACCAGATCAGGGTGGGCCCAAGCCCAAACCTTGGTGTCCCGATAAGAAAAGGGGAACCTAGACCTCACACAGAGCAGAGAAAGCCACGTGCGGACGGAGGCAGAGATGGGTGGTGCTGGCAAAGCCAAGGACATCACATCAAGGGCTGCTGGCAGCCACCAGCAGCTGGGAGACAGGCCTGGGCCAGGTCCTCCCTGGGCGTCCTCAAGAAGGAACCAACCCTGCTGGAGGGCTGGTCCCCGAGCCCAGCTTCCTGAACGCAGACACAATACACTTCTGTTGCTGAAGCCTTCAGTTTCGGGGTTTTGTTACAGCAGCCACAGTGGCTCATACAGGGACAGACCAGCAGTCAGTCTGGAGACACATCCAAACGACTGGGGGCAGGACTGGGTGTCGGGCGAGTTTTGGGTGTAAGCAAGGGGGTGGCATTAGCTGGGAGGAAAGGGGAGGGCAGGGAAGTGTGGGTTTGAGAAGCCAGTGAGACGTGAGGCTGCAGGCAGGGTGGCTTGTGGGTCTGGAGATCCAAGGAGAGTTTGGACATTGTGGGGATGGGTAGCCCCCCAACATGCACACACACAGACACCAAATGGATGATAGACACATTGAGGAATTATTTCACAAAACCTTGCTTTCACATGTAAATACACATATGCACACACATGTATAAATGTGTGTGCTGTGTCATAACATAAAATGTATTTCTCCCTGGTGATGATAAGACATATAGACAAATAAAAGATAAGTAAGTAGATACCAACCAAAAAACCAAACTCACTGCCATGGAGTCAGATCTGACTCATAGCGACCCCTCCTTGGGTTTCTGAGGCGGTCTCACTACAGAAATAGATTGCCCAATCTTCCTTCCAAAGAGTGGCTGGTGGGTTTGAACTGCCAGCCTTCTGGTTAGCAGTCAAATGTCTTAAGCACTATGCCACCAAAACTCCTAGGTAAGTAGATATATGATAGAAAAGCAGACAGAAAAACAGATGGATGATGGATGATGGATGATGGATGGATGATGGATGATGGATAGATGACAGATGATAGATGATGAGAGATGATGGATGGATGATGGATGGATGATGGATGATAGGTGATAAGATTATGGACAATGGATGATAGATGATGGATAGATGGGTGGATGGACGGATAATAAGTGATGAATAGATGGATGATAAGTAATGGATGATGGACAGATGATGGATGATGGATAGATGACAGATAATAGGTGATGAGAGATGATGGATGGATGATGGATAGATGATAGGTGATAGGTGATGAGAGATGATGGGTGGATGATGGATAGATGGTGGATGATAGGTGATAAGAGATGATGGATGGGTGATGGCTGGATGATAGGTGATAGATTACGGACAATGGATGAATGGATGATGGATGATGGATAGATGGGTGGATGGACGGATGACAGGTGATGAACATATGGATGATAGGTGATGGATGATGGATGATGGATAGATGGGTGGATGGACGGATGACAGGTGATGAACATATGGATGATAGGTGATGGATGATGGATGATGGATGGATGGATGAATGATAGGTAATAGATGATGGATGGATGAAGGGAGAGAGGGAGGGAGGGAGAGAGGCAGCACGTTCACAATTGGTGAATCTAGGGGAAGGGCGTGCAAGGACACTGTAGACACACTCAGGGCAGTGCTGCTCATGTCACCCAGGAACCCACACTTGGAGAGGGGTGTGCACATCAGCCCTGGAAACAGCATGCACAGGTGTGTGCACACACGTCCCTCCTGCCAGGGAGCGCACCCCACCTCCCCGTCTACCAGGGATGGAAGGCTGTGGCCACCATCCCCAGCCCAGCACCCCTAGAGCCTGCAGAGCAGCTGTTGATCGGGGGACCCATGGCGGGCCGCGCCCTCTCTCGGGGCGTCTGCGGATACTCACTCTCCCCAGTCATCACCCCCTGCGTGTACCTCTTGGGCAGCATCCCCGTGTACCCGTAGAAGCTGGATTGCTGCACTTAAGAGAGAGAGAGGGGTAACCGTGAGACACCATGGATCGTGTATTGTGCAAGGTACTGGGCAAACATGAACACACACACACACACACACACACATGTCTGAGCGTGTGTGCTGGGCCGTCATGTAAAATGCATTTGCCCTGGGGTTGAGGGTCAAAACAGTTGGGAAGTTGACAAAACAACTGGCCAGGATCCTTCCACGCCAAAGCCACGAAAGACAAAGGACTGAGGAATTTTCCAGATGAAAGACCACGAAGAGAAAGAGACAACAGTGAAAGCCATGCACGTTTCTGGATTGGATTTTGGACCAGACGAAAAGAAACTGCTCTAAAGGCCATTACTGGGACAACGCGTGGCATCTGAATATGGACGGCAGACTAGATGACAGCGTTGTATCCGTGTGAAAGCTCCGGGAATGTGGTTCTAAAAGAAATGTCTTGGTTCTTAGAAAATGCATCCTGAGGTCTTTAGACATGACACGTGATGACAATTCACTCAGATAGTTTAGGGGAGAAAGATGGGTGACAGACGAATGCGTAACAGATGGATGGACGGCAGCTGGGTGCATGGAGGAAGGGAAGGGGTGGGTGTGGCAGCAGTGGCCGTTAGCACTGGCGAACCCAGGGGAACGGGAGCTTATCATATCACTCTTGCAATTTTCCCAAATAAAACATGTGGAAACCACTACCCAAGGGCAGCAGTGACATGGACACAGTGGGAGCAGCCCAGGCACCTGCCTAAATGTCCCCATGGACATGCATTGCGTGTGTGTTTGCATGCACAGTGTGCATACCTGTACTCAGCACACATGTGCATGTGTGGGCATGCAGTGTGCTACACGTGTGAAGGGTATATACACGTGTGGGTATGCATGTGTGCACGTGTGAAGGGTGTGCACACTGGTGTTGCCTGTGCTTAGCACATGTGTGCACGTGTGGGCATGCAGCATGCTACACGTGTGAAGGGTATGCACATGGCACACTCACGGAGACCCATCCAGCTCTGTGTCCGGGTCAGCTCACGTATATGTCACCATGAGACCCGACAGTAAGGATGGGGCTGGGGGGTGGGAAGGGTCCCTGTCCCGGCCCCCAGACACTCCGTACCTGTGCAGCCGAAGGCCACAGTGCCCACAGCGGCCAGGTTGATGGCATAAGCCTGGTCGTGGGAGAAGAGCTGCAACCACACATCACAGATGCTGATAAACAGGAGGGGCCCCAAGGCTAAGAGGTAGCCTGCGGGAGAGAGGCTAGTGAGCGGCCATGGTGGGCTGGGCAGGGCGCCCCCGCCCTGCCTCTCCCACAGAGCCAGTCCTTGTTACTGGGACACAGCTTTGAAATCTTTTCAAACTAAAACATTTTGAAAAAAAAAAAAAAAGCATAATGCGGAAGCCACTGCCTGAGGGAAACTGATATGGACACAGTCCTTGGAGCCCAGTTTCTGTGGGAGAAATCCAGGTGCCTGCCAAAATGTCCCCGTGGGCATGTGTGGTTTGACCCTGTACCAAGAGATCTTTTTTCACACTGAGCTCTATAATGTTCTTAAGAGGAGTGTCCACATTTCAGACAGGGAGGGCGAGGCCCAGAGGAACTGAGGGTGTGTCCACATTTCAGACAGGGAGGGCGAGGCCCAGAGGAGCAGCTGGATGTTGGGCAGGGCGTGTGTGGGCCGTGAACTCCAGTGGGCAGGTGTGACGAGGCAGGGGGCCCAGTGTACCCGTGGGACCCTGGAGTGTCGAGGCAGAGGGCCCCGTACCTGCAGTGATCCTCGTGTGAAGACTCAGCCTTTCCACTAGGACGTTGTTCAGGACCACAGCCACCAGGGCCACCAAGATGTAGGTGAGGCTCATGTCAAACACAATGGAGGTCCCTGTGGAGGGGCCAGCCAACAGCAGGTGCTCAGGAGGGAGCCCCAACTTCCGGACCGGCCCTTGCCAGGAGCTACCTCCTCACTCCCCCAAGAAGGGACTGAATGCCCAGAGAGGGCGAGCGGCTGCTCTGAGGCCCCTCAGCTGGATCAAGGCTCCCTGAGCAGGGTTTCTGAAGGCCGGGGCCACAGCTGAGGGGCAGTGCCAGCAGTCACCTGTGCCGGTGGGCGGGATCGTGGAAGGGCTCACCTGGGTACTTGTGATGCAGGTAGTCCACGTCGGTGATGAAGCTGTTGTACGGCAGCAGGAAACCCACACCAGCCAGCAGCATCGCAAAGTAGATTGCGTGATAGCGGTCACCCGGCACTGGCTCTTCCTCCCCTGTTCCCAGAGCGGAGTGGTGAGGCCACTCACAGACACGGCCACCACCACCAGAGCTGCCATCACCAGCACATGGCCACAGCCACTGCGGCCCTCGCCCTCACCAGGATGTACTCCACCCTCCCATGCCACCTGTCACCACCACTGTCACTAACCAGAGCCACTGCCTCTATGGCCATTACCAGTGGATGCCAAGGCTACCAGCACCACAGCCACCAGGACCATGAATATCACCAGTGTGGAAACCACCACCCCAGCCACCAGCACCACGGACAATACCATCGTGGCCACCACCACCATGGCCACTAGCAGCTTGGACACCACCACCACAGAAACCACAACCATAGCTATCAGCACCATGGACACCACCACCATGGATATCATCACCACGGCCACCAGCACCATGACCACCACCACCACCAAGGAAGCCACCACCATGGATATTATCACCAGGGTCACCAGCACCATGGATATCATCACCACGGCCACCAGTGCCATGACCACCACCACCACCATGGAAGCCACCACCATGGCCATAGCCACCATGGCCATCACCCTCATTAGGATGTGTTCCACCCTTCCATGCTGTCATCACCACTGTCACTATCACTACCAGTAGACACTACCACCATGGCCACCAGCACCATGGATCTCACCACCGTGGAAACCATCACCATGACCACCAGCACCATAGCCACACAGTCACTGCGGTGGATGGCGCTGTGATTAGGAGTGGGGCATCCACTTCTATGGCCGTGGCTGACACAGTCACTGCTGCCATCTTGCCACTGGCCAGATGTCTAACAACTTGGGGACTGGCCCAAACCAGCTCCATCTATGCACAAGAGAGCAGAGAGGTTATCCCAACCTGTCATAGGGCTGGCCAGCACCTCTACTCCCCATCCGCACAGACAAAACACAACCCGGGACAGCAAAGGGACTTACATTTCTGGACCTGGAGTGGTCCTGGTGCAAATGAGTACCACCCACGGGAAAATCACTATCACACATGGGGGCCTCATGAGTGTCAGGGATAGTCCTATGTGATGCTATGGATCCTGCTACGGAACACCGAGGTTGGTACCAGTATTTCCTTCTGCAGATGAAGAAACTGAGGCCCAGGAAGAATGGTGACGTGGCCAAGGTCTCCCTGGGCGGTGTTGGCAAGGGGGATGGGAGCTGGGGTGGACCCCAAGTCTCTGACCCTGAAGCCCGTACACAGCCCACTCTGCAGGTGGATCTCACGATCAACAGGCCTATTTCCTCACTATGGGGAAATCAAGGCACAGAGAGGTTCAGGCCCCTGCCCAAGGTCACACAGCAGGGCTGTAAACCGGGTCTTTGAACCTCCCACCCAGACCCCCGCCTTTCAGGCATTTTCTGTCTCCTTTGATTTAAGCACGAATGTGACCAAAGTGACACACACAGAAAGAAGCGCTATGTGTGATTCACCGGGTGTCCTTTACCTGCCTTGGGGATGGAGGAAGCTTGTGTTAGGAGGACCCCTCTTTAGCCTGGATCTGTGAGGGCGCCCCCTGGTGGCCTGTACTGCACACGCAGTGTTAGGTGCAGGCACCGTGATGGCGGGCTCATTGGCTGCGACAGATACTGCCTCAGGTGCTCAGTTAACCCCAGAAGCTCCCCACAGCCCCCGAGGGCTCCTTGAGGGTGTCACGGATAGAACTGTGTCCCCCAAAAGATCGGACAAAGTCCTAACCCCCTGTCTGGAAACAGACTTTGAGGATGTTATCTGTTAGGTTACCACGAGATCCTAATGGAGTAGGGTGGTCCCTAATCCCACGAGTGGCATAAAAGGCTTGCACCTGATTACTAGCCTCAAGGTTGGCGGTTCGAACCTGCCTAGCAGGACTGGGGAACAGGGCCCTGAGAAGCTGCTCTGTTACAGCCCAGAAAGCCCCACAGAGCTCACGGGGTTGCCATGAGTCAGAATCAACTCAAGGGTTTGCTTTGGTTTTCAATCTTCTACCACCAGTGTCCTCACAAAAGAGAAGTCACAGAGACAGTGGAAAGATGGCCGTGTAGTGACAAGGAGGGTCATCGCCTCCTGACGCCAGATGACAGGCTGGACAAACTCCCCTCAGAGCCCCCCGGGGAAACCAACATGGCCGACACCCTCATCGCAGAAGCCTGTCTCCAGAACCGTGAGGCAGTACACTAAGCTGTTCAAAGCCGCCCACTCTGTGGTGCTTTGTCACGACAGCCCTGAAAAAGGTAAACCGGGGTGATCGTACGGCCAGTGTCTGCTTTGGGCAGGCGTACCCCTTGCCTGCACCCTCACTCACCTGGGTCCGTGAAAGGTGGGACCCCTCTGGCTCTCCCACCCTGGACCTGAACTGGCCCTGCGGCCGCCGCCTCCTCCAGCTGGTAACTGTCGAAACTGAAGCTCATGACCATGTTTTTGTCAGGGGTGGCCGCCAGGCCGGGCTCCTGCAGGCGCTGGCTTCCAACTGAGCCCATGGCTGCCCGTGCTGTGGAGAAAGGAGAGGAGGAAATTGAGGGGATGAGGAAGGGTGGACACGTCCACTGCCACATCCCTAAGCCCGTGGTGCCCTGGGGGACGCTCCTTCCTAGTCACCCCACCAACTTCTAAACAGCGTACGGAGGACATGCAAGGAAGCGAGAATGGTGTCATGGGGCTTGTGCCGTAAGAAGTCCACCCTCAACTTGCACATGAATGTCCGTAGTAGCTCTCTTCACTGGGGTGAAGAGAGAATCCTTTCAAGTGTCCATCAGCGGATGGGAGGCTTAACAAGCAACCCCTGGTGGCGCAGCGCCTAAGGCACCTGACTGCTAACCGGAAGGCTGGCAGTTCAAACCCACCAGCCACTCCTCGAAAGGAAGGTTGGGCAATCTACTTCTGGAGAGATACCGCCTCGGAAACCCATGGAGGGGTCGCTATGAGTCGAGTCCAACTCAACGGCACATAACAACAACAACAGTCATCCATACAAAGTACCACGCAGCTACCAAAGGGAATAGTGGCCCTGGGTGGTCCAGACGGCTGTTAACTGAAAAGCTGGCGGTTCGAGGCCTCCCAGGGGATCATTGGAATAAAGGCCTGGTGACCTACGTCCGAAACATCAGCCCCCTGAAAACCCTAGAGAGTGACACAGTGGCGTCATGAGTCAGAATCCACTTGCTGGCACGGTAGACAACGCCCTGTTAGCTACCACAGCATGGCTGGGCCCCAGAAACTGCATGAGAGAAGCCAGTCACAAGAGGCCACAATCTACGAGATGGTGACTCCAATCACGTGAAAGACCGGAGGACAGCAACCTATGGAGACAGACAGTGGATCAGTGAGGGCTTGGGGCTGGGGGAGAGGGGGGCTAGACTGACCACTAAAGGGTGCAGGTCTCCTCTTGGGTGATGAAAATGGTCTGAGGTCGACAACTCTGTGACTTGACTGAAAACCACCGAACTACTCATGTTCCATGGGTGAGCTCTCACCACGTGAACACACGTCAACAAAGCGCACTCTACACGCTCCGGAGCAGGGGTGGGAGGGAAGAGGTGGCGGGCCAGGGCCCAGTGTGGGGGCTGCTGCAGAATCCAGGGACACAGTGACGGCACCGGCATGGGGGTGGCGGCCGGGGGTCCGGAGAGACCTTAGATGGAGCAAAGAAATACTGGGAGGTGGAATTCCAGGGCTTGGTGAGTGGGCGGCCACCAGGTGGCGGTACTGAGCAAGGAGGGTGTGCTCCCTGGGCTGGGAGGGAGGGGCTACCAGTCACTCATTTCACAGCCCATGGGCTCACTGGCAGTAAGTAGGGAGACTGGACCCAGGTCCGCATGATGCGCTGAGCTACCCTGGCCTTCACTTCTGGGGCCAACCACCTGCAGGGTCAGGAAGTCCCTGCTATGGTCTTGCCTCAGTATTTTCACCTTCAATTCAGTCTGCTAGCCCTTACCTGGGGAAGGAGAGTTGATTCACGGCTGGGAGACACCCTGTCTCTACTCTGTGTACATGGGGGGCAGTCCTAGCTTCTCTACCTAGAAAATTCATCCACTTCTTTTCCTACCAGCTGATGCAAAACGGATACTTGTTCACTGCTGAGGACGTGGGACAAACAGGACCGAATGTGGGGCCTCCACTTCCCCAGCCACACCCCGGGGGACCCCACATGCCAGGGTTATGCCTTTCTCTCGGGATGGCCTGCTGCCCCGCCCCACAACATGTCCACCTGCTCTCGTCCCATCTCCTGGGTTCATTTCCTCTAGCCCCTCTGCCTCAGTTTCCCCTCCCCAGGCTGGATGGGTTGTTCTGAACCCACCAAGGCCCTCTGCCTGGTTCCGTGCTGTTGCTGTTATGTGCTGTCGGGTTGGTCCCTGAGTCAGGGCGAGCCCGTGCACAACGGAACCGCAAGCTGCCTGGTCCGGCGCCACCCCCACCCGTGTCAGCTGTGGCTCAGACCGCTGGAATCCACAAGGTTTTTGTTTTTGTTTTTGTTTTTTGCTGGTCCCTCCTAATCTGGAAGCTCCATTGAAACCAGTTCAGCATCAGAGCAACACGCAAGCTCCCACTGCTGGACGGGTGGGGGGGCTGCATGTGAAGTGTCCTGGCCGGGAATCAAACCACGGCCTTCCACACGGATGGCGGGAATGCTACCATTGAACCACCAATGTAAGCCCTGCCTGGCTCCATCCCAAAAACCCAAATCCACTGCTGCGGAGTCAATTCCGACCCACAGCGCCCCTAGAGGACAGAGTGGAACTGCACCACAGGGTCTCCAAGGCTGTCAATCTTCACGGAAGCAAAGCCCAAACCACACCCACTGCCGTGGAGTCCATTCCGGGCCACAGCGCCCCTAGAGGACAGAGTGGAACTGCCCACAGGGTCTCCAAGGCTGTTAATGGAAGCCAACTGCCTCATCTTTCATGGAATGGCTGGTGGGCACCCAAATGCATTAACCACTGTGCCACCAGAGTGCCTGCCTGGCTCCACAGAGCATTTTAATTGAAGCCAAGGAGAACTAGCCCCTGGGGTGCTGGGACCATTCTGCCTCTGCCAGTGAATTAGAACCTGAGATGGGAACCAATGGCAAAGAGGGACCCTTCAGCACCCCCCCAACTGTGCCTGACAGCACCTCTGAACCTTCATGCTCTTCCCAAGATCTCTCCAACCGGCCCCTCCTGCCGTGTCTGGAAGTGGGGGTGCTGAGTAAGGCTTAGGACAGCACTTGGCTTGGGCTGGAGTGACCGTAGCCCGGTCTGATGGCCGGGGACAGGGTCAGTGTGTGCCTCAACCTCTTTCCTTGTCTGCGCTGTGGGGAGGAGGAGCCAGGGGGCAGTGGAGACACCCTGACCCCCTTCACCCCCAGCAGCCCCACCCTTCCTACCCAGATAAGAAGACCTGGGGAGAAGAAGGTTTTTACAAAAACTCAAAGGCTCCCTGCCTCTGCCCACTGAGGATGTCAGCTTCATCCGAGACCGAGTCAGAACCATGTAAGTGGCTCAGCAGGGGCTCCGAGACAGCATTGAGCACACTCATCACCAGGACGTAGCTCACCCTGAAAGGTGAGGTTTCCGCCTCAGTGGGCGGCCACGCTGGCTGGGAGGGCGGACGGGCTTAGAATGGAGTGGGGAGGGGCCTCCCTGCTTGCTTCAGCTTGGCCAGAGCCAGCGGGCACCTGCCTGCCTGGGCCACCGCCCCACCTGCCACCCTACCACCAGTCTGTTGCTGTCCCCACCTACTACTGCACTGCCTGCCTGGCCACCATCCCCCAGGGTCCTCCCGAGGGTGGGGCTCTGACGCCCCCTGCCCTGGTCCCAGGACCCCTAGGCCAGGCCTCCTCACACAGTGAGTGAGGGGGGGTGGGGGTGCCTCTTCTGGGTCTCGGGCACCTCAGGGCCCCCCTCCACTCAACACCACCAACCCAGAACCTCTAACCTTCTCCAGCCCCCTCCTCCGACCCCTTTAATTAAAACGGGGTGACTCCCATCTAGGTTTACAGCGCTCTGCTCTACTCACCCCCCCCCAAAGCTGTCAGTGCCCAGATGCCTGTCCAGGGAGCCAAGAGGACACCGGTCACTTTTTTGGCCTCCAGGGCACTGGGCCACCCTGTGGGCCTCAGTTTCCCCCCTCCGGCACTGTGGTGAGCACTCGAGGAAGAGGAGGGTGAGACAGTGGGTGAGGGGCTAGGCGCTTTGGGGGACAGGCTTGGCTGCACACAGAAGGTGCTCATAGTCACAAAGAGTCCCCCACGGAGCTGCAAAGGGGGCACCTAGGCTCAGGGAGGTGAAGGTCAGGGTCAGGCGGATCAGAGCCTGGCTGACCACACAGTCCTCCCCTCGTTTCAGCTAGACCCCGGGGTCCAACAGAGTGAAAAGGACATGGCTTCAGAGCTGTGTCCTAAGGGCCGTGTGGGGGCACTGAACGCTGGATCCCACTCCAACCAGAAATGGAACGCAATTGAGAGACCGGCTGACCCCCTGCCCTCCCGAGGCCTCGCCCACCAGGCCTCCGCCATGGCCCCCAGACACCGGGGGACCTCCAAGCGGCTGTCTTCTGCCAGCCACGCGCTCCAGACCCCCCTAACTTCCCTTCAGACCCTCGAGCCAGCCCCTTCCCGGAGCCCCCAGAGCGCAGATGAGGGCGCGGACCACATGCTGGACAGGGCCAGGCGGTGCCCACACAGCTGCGCCCGGGGCACCCCGCACCCCGCCTGGCCCCCGGGGGCCCCACATGCCCCGTCGCCCCTGGAGGCTCCTCTGGCCCCTGCACGACCCCAAAAGCAACACAGCTGGTCCCCAGGCTGCGTCCCAGACGAAGGACAGCGCCTCCTGGGTGACGGCCTGGCCACGAGGTGACCCCTGGGAACAGGCCCCGAGATCTCCCGGTGGCTTTCCACCAGCAAGAGGGGCTGGCTCGGAAAAGGGGTGCGCTGGGGCGGAGGGGTTTCGGGACGAACTTTATGGGGAGGAGATTCTAGGGGTGCGCGCGGGAGAAGAGGTGGTGCCAAGGCCCGGCCCCGGCGCCCCGCCCCTTCCCGGGTCCGAGTCCTGCGCCCTCAGGGCGAGGGTGGCCCGGCCTGGCCGTGCGCCCCGAGCCGGCCCGGCTGCTGGACCGGGCGAGCGTCCGTCCCGGAG